GCTCAGCAATCAGTTCACCTTTCTATTTCTTTTTTCTTTTTACTTTTTATCAACTTATTGACGTCTATCCTTTTCATAGGAGGGAAGACTGTAAGACCTACGGTCATTACATTACACATAGATCAAAATACTTAATAATTAGGACTTAAACTTAAGGATGCTGTTTCGTTATATATATTGTTTTCAAATTCTACTCCTGGTTCCTTAGTGATCTGGGACTGACTTCCCACCTCATATCCTTCGGAACCAGGTACGTCTTATTTCTTTTCATTTTCTCTTACTTTGTTCTATAGTTGTGGTTATGATGGTTAGAGTGATCTGGGACTGACTTCCCACCTCATATCCTTCGGAACCAGTCTCCTTTACTGGGATCTCTGTTGGTTTGAAATATAAAAAGTCTCTTGGGTTCTAGAAACCCTGTCCCGCTGTGCCTCACAGCGTCCCTGTTATTGTGATCTCGAGTGAAGGTCATACAGACCTTACAATGAAGAGGATCGTTTAAGAGAACTAGAAGCGGTAGGAAACTTATCATCACATGAATTATCATCACAAATAGAAGAACAAGAAGTGACGATCAAGAAGGTCGTGAAGAAGAATAAGAAAACAAATGAAAAAGATATCAATTGGACTTCAGACGAAGACAATGATGAAGAAGATTCATTGAAATCAAGTTCAAGTGATAAAGTGTTAATCATGGAACCAAGTAAGCAATAAATAACGTGATATATTCCGTAGCGTGATCTATTCCGCAAAAGAGCTACACAATCGTGATCTATTCCGAAGACAAAGCAATAAACTGTGATGTATTCCAGTAATGAAAACTGATTGTTATGAATTCGATTCATTGTAACAGCGGCGTTAATAGATAAAGCATACCAAGCTTTGAATTTAGGAAACACAAAACTAGCAAAGAAACTCTTATTGAAAATGAAGATGGAAGAAATGAGCAAGAAAGAATTAGAGGTCCCTAAAGTAAACCCTTTAGTGAAGTACAAATCAGGTAGAACAGCGAAGAATACATTGAAAAAGTTCACTGAATACTGGGACTCTCATTTAAAGAAGTTAGACATCCATTTTCCGTTAACAATTTTTAACACAGAGTGGATCGAATTAGATAGTTTAGTAGCTAGCAGAAGTACATCAAAGAAAAAAGATTGAGTGACCGGCCAAATTCCTAAGAACGAATGGTTCATGACTTTTGCGGATTGGACAAGAGCTAGGATACTGATGGTGAAATATCTAAAGGAACAATATTTCCATAAAGATTTCGCAAAAGGGTCAGTTCGCACCCCTTTAGATTAAAGAGTTGATGTACTAACAAATTGTTTGTAACAGTTTAGAGAAACATTTTGAATATGTTCAAACTCTGGGTGATCGTCATGGGTGGATCGTAGCTTTTAGATACGATATCGCAGTGCGTAATGATGTGACCTGTAATCATATAGACAGGGCACCAGGCGACCCAAGTGAACAAAGAAAAGAATTTCTAGAGGAAGCATTGGCAAGAACGTCATTCTTACAAGACGGTAGACTATTACCAAAAGATAACCGTTGAGTGGTTATATCTAAAATCACAAGTGAATTAATTTAATATTTACCAATTTCTTTTTCTGATGATAGCATATGCAAAGGGTAATACCAGAGAAAAATATAGTCCAATAACTGGTTTCCGTTACCCATTAGGAAAAAGTCACGATTCTACCAATTTGGAAGTCGAAGAAGATGAAGAAGACAAATTTTTGAGAGTTCCGAAGTTCAACAGATCAGACGAATTTAGAAGTAACAGAAGAAACGATAGGGGAAAAGGCTTGAGATTCGACAGATCAATTTCCCCTTACCAACGCCCAGAAAAAGGAAAGGGTAGAAACCCAAATTATAAGGGAAACAATTAGTGAGTGACAGTTCTTATGTTTACGAATAAATTCTAACTGAAAGGGGTCCCCCTCTTTAGTGATGAGAATTATGTTCCTGGAGGAAAGAAGAGAGACCAAGGTGAACCTAAACATACTGAACCTAGACAATCAACATCAAAAGATAAGCAAACGTAAGCGTTAGAAATGATGATTGAAGTCATGTCATAGAATTTGTAAGAGTTTTTGTTTAATTCGTTGTGTTTGTATTCGTGTAGATGTATTGAGAATGTTTGTAACGAGTTTTTGAAAAGAAAAAGGACAGGCTCCAATGATTACTTAAAGATATTTAAAAATGAGAGAGATGAGACCTGGCCAACGATCGTAAAATGCGAGATGAACAAAGACATTTGGGAAAGAGAATTGAAAAAATTTGGTTTGATAGATGAATATCAATATTTATTAGATGGGTTTACGGAAGGATTCCATCAAGGAGTTCCGAAACATTCAATTCATAACGTCAAGTGGTACTGTCCTCCTAATCACTCATCAGCAAACGATGCAAGACAAAAAATCGAAGACAATATAGAAAAAGAAGTGAAGAATGGCAGGATGTTCGGTCCTTTTTCAAAAGAACAAGTTTATGAAAAATTGGGATTTTTTAGGACAAGTCCTCTAGGTGCAGTAGTCAATGGAGACGGAAGCTTTAGGCCAATCAACGATATGTCATATCCAAAGTTTGATGACTTTATTCCTTCTGTTAATTCATATGTTGATAAAGGTGACTTTAAAACTATGTGGGACGACTTTAAAGTGGTAGTTCGGTTTTTTAAAGATCATAAAGGAGACATACTCTTAGGGATATTCGACTGGGAAGGTGCATATAGGCAGATTCCAACTCATAGGTCTCAATGGCCATATTTAGCTATCATGGATTTCCATGGGAATATTTATATTGATGTTAGGATTGCCTTCGGTGGCGTAGCAGGGTGTGGTTCCTTTGGAGGCCCTGCAGATGGCTGGAAGAAACTGATGAAGGCCAAGTTTAATTTAGTTGAAGTCTACCGCTGGGTCGACGACAACTTAATGATAAAGAAGAGGACGGATAGGGTATCTATGTTAGACATCGTGGAAGCTAGCAAGGAATTGGGCGTCAAAACGAATGTGACAAAATATTCGGAATTCGCCTTCGAACAAAAGTTCATTGGGTTCGTGTGGAATTGCGTGGATATGACGGTCTCCTTGCCAGATAAGAAACTAAGGAAGAGAAAGTCAGAACTAGAAAATTTCTTAGACCAAACTTGGTTCTCAAGGCATGATGTCGAACGGTTTAATGGGAAGTTAGGCCATGTAACGCTTATCCTACCACAATTGAAATCTTACTTGGCCGCGAACTATAGATGGGTGGCTGTATGGAGGACACCAGGTAAGAGGATGATGCCACCCGATGTAAAGGAGGATATGCTTATTGAATTTAAAACCGACAAGGATTATGCCAGACCACATCGTCAAAAATGTGGGCTGGGTGGGTGACGCGTCGAGTGAGTATGGCATTGGGATAATAATTGGAAGAAGTTGGGCGCAGTTCGAATGGTTGGAAGGTTGGAAGGAACCGATTGGACAACCAAAACAAACGATCGCATGGGCCAAGACCGTAGCGGTCCGGCTTGGTTTCTTGATGTTGAAGCAGAAAACTGACGTAGCTGGTTTTAGTTATTCTTGCCTGACCGATAATACAACAACGGAAGGAGCAGCAAGAAACCGAAAGTCTAGGGACTTTTGGGTTAATGAAGAATGGAAGTTAATCCAGACCCTTCTGATTGAAAATGATTGTGACTTAAGCTTGGTCAGGGTCATTTCAGGCGACAACGAAGCCGACTGCCTGTCTAGAGGACTGGACCCTTCAAAGTCACACGCCGAAATGTTGACAATCAAAATACCTGACGATTTAAAGTTGCTACTCCGACAAGTTTTCCCCAAAAAGAACAACACCACTTTAACCGTCTAGAGGTTTTTCTTGTTTCACTTCCTTACACAATCACCTCGTTCATATTCGAATGTTATCACCACGCGACGTACTTCGCCAGTCTCGGCCTGGGAAGATAGAAACTTTAGATGATGCAGGAGAGGTGATCCTCGAGAGACAAGTATTTCAAATTCATGAGCAGGTTCCCTGTGGTGCTCTTTCCAACAACCCCAGCCATCATCTTCCAGTTCGTTGTCTGGTGCAGCTCCAACGAAGGCCATCAACCGGTGCTGAGTAACACAACAAAACGTTATCTTACGGGGATTTGTATGTGGCACTCACTTCACAACTCAACATTCCCCAAAATCGACATAGACCGATTACGTATTTTGCTAGTTGCGACTAAAAAGGCAGAAGTAGTACGGCACGGACCAAAACGAGCAGCTCTGACTTTGATGGACATAAACCACCTGATTCACGCCTTGGACTTGGACACGTCGGACGGGTTGGTCATGCGAGGTGTTATCCTGACCGGCTTCTGGGGTTTAGCGCGACTAGGCGAACTCGTAAGACGAGTCGACTTCCCAACTATCTTCATCCGACGAAAGGACGTTCGTTTTGACAAGGATGGAAAGCATGTCGCTCTGCGCATTTGTCTAGCTAAGACGGCGGCACCAGGCGAGTATCCACCTGTGCCTACCCGACCCGTCGGGTATAAGTCGATAGGAAATGTGTACTTCCTATCGACTTATAGTCAAAACCCCCCTGTCCGACGCGCCGCCGCCCCGACGCGTCGGATTAAAACTCACCGCTAAGTACTTCATCCACCGCTACATGACGTGTGAGGACCTGTAACACCATCTATGCCCACATATTGGCAAATGGTCCAGGAAAACATATATCCACGCAAAATTCCAGGAATCAAATTCACACTGATGTGAATGTCATTCACATGGATCACGGATCAAAATCACACATATGTGATGACATACATCTGAACCATACATGTGAATTTTGCATAAAGGAAAAGTGTTAGATTCACACTGATGTGAA